CGCTGTACAAGGCGGGGTGTCTAAAATTGGTTTATGCGCAAAAACAACCCAAAAAATAAAAGCCCTAGCTTCGGTCAAAAGGGGGTGTTTACAACATCTGAAATCAAATATGTTCGTGTGTATCTTATGTTAGACGCGAACATTTCCGTGTTTAAACATGTTCGAACATGTGTAAACTGTGTAAACGTGTGATGTGCTTAAATAGGCCATGTCTAAACGTGTTTATTCGTGGCTAAAGCGTATCATGTAGGACGATGCAATGGCGGCGATGCTCTCTTCTCAGAACAAAATGTCATCATGGTTGGGCCGCCGTTGCTCTGTTCTCACAGCGCATTCCACCAAGGGCATCATTGTGGTTGGGCCACGGATGCTCTCTTCTCAGAAGGGAGTAGACCATGGACGTCATGATGGTTGGGCCGCGGATGCTCTGTGCCCGCAGCGCATTCCACTATGGACGCATGGCTGGGCCGGATGCTGCGTTCCCACGGCACATGACATCATGGACGTCATCATGGTTGGGCCATGGATGCTCTCTTCTCAGAGGATTAGACCATGGACGTCATCACGGCTGGGCCATGCATGTGACTGCAACTCCATCGATTAGCATCTCGGAGTCCACGTCCATCCTTGGACTTTGGACGAAAGCCTCTCGAAGCTCGAGTTGTTGGAGGATTTCAGGTCAGGAATCGCAGGAAACGGTACTGCTGCAGGCAGGCTGTCGTTTTCATCCGAACGGGCCTGAGGGACCTCGGCTCTGCTGCAACAGTTGAAGCGAAGTCCGAACCGATCTGCAGTCTTGATTCCACCGTGCAGCATTGTGTTGCTCCGCCACGGAACAAAAGAAGCTGCAATTCTGCTTGAAGCCTGTGTCCGCCAGGCCAGGTGTCCGCCTGTGTTCGCAGGCAATCAGGCTCCGGAAACCGGTGTCCGCCGGACATGTCCGCCGCAACCCCGTTTAGCCGTAAATGGGTAGATATCTGTGTCCGCCCGTGTCCGCCCGCATAAAACTCTAGCCCTGTGTAAGGGGTCGCCTGTCCGCCGTGTCCGCCGCTCCACCAATATACCCTCCCGCGCTGCTTTGCAGCTTCCAGAGCCACGCCAAGAGGGACAAGCCGCCTGCAAACAGTGCGGCCTCCAGTACCCCTGCACAGAAGGCCGCTAGCACCGCGATGTTTTCGAATGCCGCCATTGTGCGGCCTCTCTGAAGGCCGTGCTTCGCAATCTTGGTGGCCTGCCCGAAGACTTCACGCAGATGTCTTCTGAAGAGACCACGAAGTTGCCAAGTGTCTTTCGTCAGGGAAGCAAGGAATGCTGATGGTCAACTCGTTGTCTCAGTCTTGCATTAGTGGCATTGGCGTGTGCTGAGGATAAGACGAGTCCTTCTTCGTTTGACTGGTTTCATGACGAGTTTCGGTTGATTTATAGGCCAAGTCCAGCAACAAAAGCGTAGGACATCTGAAATTGCAAAAAAATCATCGAAAAAGCTAGCGACAAGTTAACCAACTTATCAGTCTGCTCATAAGTTGGTCTCTAACTTCATCTTAACTTATGTTGTAACTTCTCGCTAACTTGCTAAGTTGCCGGCGTCTCCTTAGCATGGACCCGTGCGGAATCATGTGTCCAATCATCTTGTAATATCTTGTAATCCCTAAACCCAATAACAGTATTTTGTAAGGGCCAGTCAGGAAAAAAACTGTCAGGATCCTGTCTTACGGAAGCCTGCAGAACTGCAGCAAGAGGAAATCTGTACCGTTGAAGAAGGGTTTGTCATGGGTGTATAGGGGCTTTGTAGGGTGCTGTTGTGCAGGTGAGGCAAGTACCCAAAGTAACGATCACCATCGTTCGAGTTGGGACTCTCCGCAACAGAAATACTTAAAGGCAATCATCTACTAAGTGTTAGTTCGTACTAGCCGTTCTGAACCCTATAAACCCTTGCCCCGAAACCCTATAGCTCTATCAAGTCCAAACACTAACCCATCCGGTTGATGATGATGATGATGATGGTATATATAAAATATAACATATATATATATATACACATACATGCATGCATACATACATACATACATACATACATATATATATATATCTTAAGGTAATGCAGGGTTTGGATCATCAACAGTATGAGCACCAAGCCCAATTCGCATTCAAACCACGATCTGTAGAGAGTGTTGCTTTCAGCTTCCCTTCGCCGGTAAGCGGTAGCAAATGACGGCCAATGTGGATACCTAGGCCTTGGAACAATCAGAACAGGGATTCGGGTAGACTACAGTGTCGTTACATATATCAGGGTGATAGTCAGAATATTTAATTCTTTCTAGTCTATCTATGTATATATATATATATCAGGGGGATAGTCAGAATATTTCTGTCTAGTCTACTGGGAGCCTCTTCGACTTGGCTGGCAGGGTCCATTAACATGGCCAATGGGTTTGATGGAAAGAGCCTCCAAAGTAGGGGTTGCCGGACGGGGTCTTCCTTCAGACTAGAACCCTCAGAAAGCCGTCCTGGCTCCAGCAATGAAGCTTGTACAAAGCTTCCTGCTGCTTGTACAGCTCGCGCATGAGGATTTCGTGATTCTGTCGGATCATCTCCTTCAAAAATCTTTAGGGTCTATAGGGTTTAGTAAAAACGTCAGCAGATTCGGCTTAAGTCCAGGATCTTGCCAAGGTTATGACAGCATCAGGGGATTATCAGGGCGAAGCTTATAGCGTTAGTGGTAATGTAGGAACCTGACTAAGAAACCCTGGATCTTTATCAGGCTCTTTATACGAAGACTGTTTTGGGGTTATAGGGCCAGGGCTTCTTAATCAGGTTCCTCCAGTAGTGTGTGCGTAGCCTAAGGCACATGCGTTGCTTGGATCGTCTCCTTCAGGTCATCTCTGTCCCAAGAATCGGGACCTCAGTTGGCCGGTATTCTACCGGAACTAACGGTTATCCTTTAGGGTTATAACATCCGAAAAAAAGGTTCATACCTACTCCGCTAAGTGGCTGTCTGCGCTTGCCAGGACCTGCTCTGATGCGCAGCACGCCATGGGACGGCAGTGGGCTGAATTCCCCTGGCTGGAACTCTGTAAAACCAGATCGTCTCTCTCCCAAGATTCGTGGCCTTAGTTGCCCGAGTTCTCTAAATCCCCGACAGGGTCCCTAAACCCTAAACTGGCCCTAAAACCTAAACCCTATACAAGTATTGTTTACCATGTCGGCGGACATCTAGCTTTTGCATGTCGGCGCCTTTTCCTACGTGTCGGCGCGTGGCGTTACTAAACCATGCTGTATATAGGGTAGAGTTTTAGGGTTTAGGGTTTAGGGTTTTGATCCTTGAAAAATTAAAATATCCAAAAACCACTAGCCCTGAACCCTCAACCCTAAAACCCTAAAGCCCTAAGCCCCAAACCCCTATACTCAGCTACCAAGAAACCGTCTGCGCTATCCAGTACTTGCTCTGATGCGCAGCAGGCCATGGCACGGCCCAAGGCTGGGTTTGCACTGCCTAGAGCTCCGTGAAAAATTTGTGTAGTATTTATATGTATGTATGTATATATATAAAATCTATATATATATATGTATAACAAATTTAGGGTTTAGGGTTTATATAACGCAGATAGAACGACAGATGACATAGACAAATAGACAGGCAGGAAGGCGGAGATACAGATGGATAGACAGACAACAGATAGGGCAGTGTTTACACGGCTCGTCGTCGTCTGCATTCCATGAAGTTGTGTAGTCCAGAACGGTCCTTCTGGCAGCAGACATCCATGATTGCACACGTTTCCTGCCACAAAAGCACAAGCAAGCACCGTGCCATCAGCATGATGATTTGACACCCTGTCAAGGACTACGTATGGTCAAGCATTGCAGTCTGGGATGTAGGGTGCCCGGGAGCTATCGAAACCCCAAACGCGGAAAATGATGCCTTGATTCTCGAGAGAAGCCTGTCCACCATCTGGGGCCTTATCTACGGAGCAAGGACACCCTAGCCCTAAACATCCCTGAAACCCTAAATACTAAACCCAGTACTTACAGGATCATGGGAATTAGTAACTAGGGTTATAAATAAGGCGACTATACTTATAGTTACTTATTATAACCCCAATTAAGGTGTGTGTGTGTATATATATATATATCGTAACCTTACGTACTAAGTCCCATGAACCTTTAATCTGTACGTAGCTAGCCGAGCTTCGAGGAAATGCTTCAATGGTCTGGGTCTCTACCCATAGGCCCCTAAGTAGTTCCTTTTTATGGTTCATATTTAGAATCCCATAAGGTAAGCCCAAGAAGGAACTACTTAGGCGCCTATGGGTACCCATGGTCTCCATCAAACTTCCTCTTCTGGGTAAACCGTTTTCATCTTACAGGATCCTAAAGGGTCCAAAGGACCCAATAGTAAGGTGAAGCAGTTGAACAAAGCCAGGACATGCGGCATCGTACCCCCACATAGTAACCCATCCATTATGGAAGCATGATGACAGAGGGCATCATTCTGACACATAGTCTACAGTGAGCCCTAAATCCCGAAGCCCAAATCTCGTACGAAGAGGATGGTATGATATTAGCAAAGGCTCAAGTGGAGATCCTACTCGTGAGGGCTTGGGGTTTAGGGTTCAGGACGTAGCTTACAGCCCAAATGAGCGCGAGTTTGACCAACTTGCCATGTCCGGCTATGATGCCTCATTCACAGGCAATGCAAAACAGCCAACCACTTATGAAGATCCCTGAACGAATCCTACAAACCCCTTTGCTAAAGCAAGGATTTGTTCTATATATATACACACATAATATACATAATATATATATATAGAGAGATATATATATATATAGACTGCCGAACGGCGACTTTTCTCCAAAATTCGTTTTGGCATATATGGTTGAGGCTTGAGGCTTGGAGGACGTTGGCCCTGCGCCCTACAATTTCTGAAGCCCTAAAGCTTTGGGGTACAGACAGCTTGAACGGGGGTTTAGGGTTTAGGGATTCCAACGGCTCCATGTGACAACGTTTGGCAGCCTCTTCGGGCTATGACAGAGTTAATGCTTCGTCGAGAGGAACCCTTTCTTTTCTGGATTTGGGGGTTTGAGTGAGGGAACCCTAAATTTGGAGCATTAATGTAAACCCTAAACCCTAAACCCTAAATTAAGGGTCCTTGAATTAAAGGAACCACGAAAGTAACCCCGTTGCTGCGCTGTCTAGACCCCACCACACACTCGCACACACTCCCATGCGATCCCAAATCACAAAACCAAACCCCAAAGCCATAGACCCCTAAGCCCTAAACCCTGAACGTAATCCCTTATCCATGCCAATTTTTTTTGCACAGGCCGCAACTCACTGATGGCGAGTACCCATCCCACGGATCGACGTCAGGTGTTAAGTTACCCTAAGGCTCTAAGGGCTCAAAGTTTAAGGCGTTTGGGCCCAAAGACCCTAGTATATAAGGCTTTTGGGCTACTTTGAGACAGGGTTAGGGATTTTGGGATGAGGACGTCATTATGGTGTTTAGGGCGTTGGGTTCAGCGTTTTCATTCGAGCTTTGGAGTCGAGGGTGGCTTAGCGCAGATCGGGTTTGGGGTTTGGGGTTTAGGGTTTAGGGTTTAGGGTTTTAAGGTTTAGGGTTTTAGGGTTTAGGGTTTTAGGGCTTTAGGGTTTTAGGGTTTTAGGGCTTAGGGTTTGGGGTTGAGTTGCGCTGACTCGTCCCCTCATTGCCTGAAGACCACTCTTCGCTATACCCTCAAAGGACTCAGATTTTAAGGCTTCTGGGCCCAAAGACCCTATTATACGAGGCTGTTGAGCTATTTTGAGCCTTAGGGTTCGGGTTTAGCAAAGTACACAACCCTAAACCCTAGACCCCTAAACCCCTAAAGCCTAAACCCCTGACGCCAAAGATCCTTCGAGCCCCTTTGGGGTCGCGGGTTCGGAACTCGCGAAAAACGACGGCTCCAATGGTACAACTTGAGCTTTCCAAAGAGCTCCATGTACCCCTTAACTTAAGTTTGAGATCGAAGGTTTAGGGTTTGTATAATGCTTCTGGTTGTGATTCAGCGCCTATTTCTGAATTCTGAGTTCTTACGCCCAAAAAACATCTCAAACCGCAAGCCCTGTAACATCCTACCATAAGCCCGAAACCCCTGTAATATCCTAGTGACTTACGGCATCTCCCCGCATCTCCCAGCGTTAAGGGGTACATTGAGGTCTTCGGTTTTGTGAGAAAGATTCCGGCTCGGCTTCTCCCCCTACATGCGACGCCAGGGTTTGGGGTTTAGGGCTGACACCAGCTTTCCGCCAAGGGCTTGGAGGGTTTACTTCATAACAGAAGGGTGGATCCCTGGGCCCTTTGTTTCTGCATGAGGAGCCTTGGGAGTTAATGTCTTTCGAGAGGGGCTCGTTATGCTTACTTGCTCAAGTTAGACTTCCGGTTCACGGATCATATGTGGAATTGTTTGATGCTTGCTTCCATAAATGATTCTTATGTTTAGGCCACAATAAAGGCTGGCTGCACCATACCCCACACTTCAAGCCGACTATCCCTATTTCGAAATCCATGATGGGCTCTGTGGGGAAATTTTATTATACCAGGTCAAGAAGGGATGAAGATACCACTAAAGTCCGGATGAAGGACAATTCGTGCTGAGGTTCCCTGTACTAAACCCTAAACCTTTAAACCATTACTCCTTTGGGGGTTGAGGCTATTGGGTTTCCAACATTTGGGCTCCTACACGCTTCTGCCATAAACCCAAACCACGACTTCGAGTAACCGATGTACCCACAATATCTGATGACCCTACAGAGTAAGCATCTCTCTCTTCTGATTTTGCAGACATGCTACTTTGGGTATATGCTCTAGGAGCTACTTCCTGAGCCATGAACCCCAATCCCTACACCTCTCTTAATTCCTAAACTAAACCCTGAACCCCAAACCCCAATCCCCAAACCTCACTACTTCTACTTCATACGCCCGGCTGCCACGCTTGCGACTGGCTGCCCGGAGGCGGCAAGCAGGATTTCCAGGATGGCCTGTGAGGGCGCAAGATGTTCATGACGGCTACAAAGGGTTGCAAGAGTGCACGGTGTTCAAGGGCTAAACCCCGAAACCCGAAACCCTATACCCCCAAAACCCCTAAAGCCCGAAACGCTGTTGTCAGGCATTCACGAGATGTTATACTGGCTGGGGCCTGCATGGTTGACTTCCAGTTGCTATGAGCTACTTTTTGCCACGAGGCCAGGGATGCGAACAAGGGTTTAGGGTTTAGAGTTTAGGGTTTAGGGTTTAGAGTTTAGGGTTTAGAGTTTAGGGTTTAGGGTTTAGAGTTTAGGGTATACGTTGGAATTTAAAGCACTCTCTCAGAGGCTCCATTTAGACTACCAAAATGGAATTAGGTCCCACAAGACAATCCTGATTATGGTTAAGGCCTAATTCCATAATCGCAGTATATGTGGACCCTCTTTGTTTATGGTAGTTAAAAGCCTTCGAGCAGGTGGCCTGGCAAGGGGCACGGACCGGTGCACTGTAGCCTGTGATGCAGTCTTACATAAGCTGTGTTCAGGGTGTGGGACCCTGATCTAGACCCCCAACATCCTGAGTATAAGAAGTCCTCAGCAATGCAGCCCTTCTTTTCAGACCGTATTAATATGAACCAGCTTCTGAGCTTTTCGGAGTGTCCTGAATGAATCGTAAGCCCTCTGGCTCAAGGGTTCAAACAGCGGCGTCCTACCCGAAGAGTCAGGAATGCTAATAAAGAGTGGAAACACTCTGCATCCCTGAAATCCGCGCTCGACCCTTTGGGAAGGAGGGCTGAGCGAACGATTCCCGACCCTTGAACCATCTTAAACCCCAAACCTTGAACCCCGCTAGGCCTGGCAGTCTCTTTTCATCTTCCCAGTCTCATGGAGAAGGTGCATGATGTCAGCAGATGTCGGGCCTCCCTTAACTTTCGCAAGGCCATCGCAGAATTCCTGGACAGAGAGGGTGCCGTCGAGGTCGTCCACCAGGACCCGGAATAGCGCTCGGGCATCACGAATATCCAGTCCCAGAGCGCTCATGTAGTGCCGCATTTCCTTGGCGTCCGAAGATGCGGACAGGCTGCAGTATTAAGTCGTAATTAGTGGTATCCCGCTCGAAGTTCCGATAGTTGTACTCGAATATACCCAGCCCATATTTCTTCTCATTCTGACCTCGAACTACGACATTTACAAGGCTTTGTTCGCAAAAGGCCTTTCCCTAAGGGTGCAAGTGTCTAAGAATCAAATACTGTACGTCCCAAATCCTAACCTACAAACTATAGGACTCTCCTAGTAGCTTGTGT